GGGGAAGGGCTGCTCCTTGTTTGGCACATTTCATCTCTAAGTAAATAGTTGTGTGCTTTTTCAAATTCCATTTTCAGAGAGTAGTGATTAATGTTTCATAATTTAAATAGTCTAAAGTTGTTAGGTATAGATGTCAACTGTCCCAGATTTGCCAGAACAGTCTTCTTTGCCTTCTGTCCTGCAGATGTTGTGTTCTGAGCCATGTCTTGGGATCACAGCATCAAACCTCAACAGTGCCAGCTGCCTGGCAATGCCATATGATGTGTGTGGAGATGCCACCATGCTGAAGGGAAAGTTTTCATTGGCCAAGATGGAAATCAGTGAGAGCAGGGTTGGCCAGTGCAGTAAAGTGCGAGCTGCCAGTGATTGGAAAGGCATCTTCTAATGGGGCAGGCTGGACAGGGCAGCATATGCCTCTATAGTTGTCGGGGTCGTTTGGCAATTATTACTCTCTGACTCCCTTTAAGATCTCTGCCAGAGTGGCACAAGCAGCCGCAAGTACTAGTGTCCGATGCTTTGCAGAAGGATGTATATCACTGACGCTCTGCATAAGGTCCTGTGACAAGTTAGCACCACAAAAGAAGTCAGGAGAGACAGATTTTTTTCTGCAAAGCACCCAGGCAAAGTGGATCAGTGTCTCCATATGCTAGTAAATGAGGTAGTACTAACCCCTGTTTCAGAAAGAGTTCTGAAACAAGGGTTAGTACCACTGGCTATACACATTTTTAATGTCTTTTATTGAAAAATGTGTCCTAGTATTTATACAGGGGCGTGTAGTTGCACATAGGATGAAAATACATAAATCCAAGTGCAACCTAGTTGGTTGTTATGAAATCTACCTCTATATTTTTTGTGTCTGTTAATTGTCTCATTTCCTGGATATAACCTCGCTGCCACTTCACAAACTTCCACCCCCATACCACTGTTGCCACTGGTGGCCTCACCTTCTACTTCTGGCTCTGGGACCTCTAATACTTCAGATCCAGGGGAGGTTCAAGTTTTACAAAAGTAGAAGCTGGGCCCTGCACTTTAGCTGCCACTGTCTAGATGCCCAACTACAGGAGGACCCGCAAGTTCTCAGTGCAAAGCACTTCAGGCCTCTGATATGCCCATCAAAACAATGTGTAGCCATGCTAAAGAAAAAATGAACTAGAAGGAAAAATTGATTTTATCCCAACTTGTCTTCTGACACTTTTTACTCCTTTCCTTCCCCATCCTCCTTTCCTTCCCCTATACTCTGCAAATTGTGTATGCTGTCTGCACACCTTTCATGTTTTCCACAAACCTCCCCTTGACATACTGCCCATTGTCAAACCCTCCACACTCCCCTCCTGCACATTGTGCCAGCTATCACACCCTCTTCACTCCTTCTTCTGTACTTACTGCTCCTTGTAATACTCTCCATACGCCTCTCCTGTACATACTGCCCACTGTCATACCCTTCACCCTCCTCTCCTGCACATACTGTGCCATGATGGACCCTTCACACTCATACCTCTTTTCCATTCCTGTACTGCACATACTGTCCTGTGTCATATCCTCCATACTCACAGGAGACTTCTGCAGCATGAAAGGCATATGTTGTGGAA